CCTTTACAGCCTGATAATCCCTCCTGAGTCTCTTGCTCTTCATGCTCCCTCTTATCTGACCATACTCGGCCTAGACAGCATCTCTTTGATGGGATATCATTACGTCTGCTGCCGCTTCAGGTGGCCACTTGGGTTTTGCACATTGTCAGGCTGGCTCAATCTTTTTCTTGGCAAGGACACTGCAGTGGATGTTTGCCATGTTCAAGCATGGCTATCAATTGTTTCTTGGTTAAGAGACTCTCACAGTGATCTAGAGGAAAGGTTAACAGGCTGTTGGAAAGCCTGTCCTGCATACAGATCTCATCAAAGCCATTATGATTTATGTATTGAATGTCTAAGCCTGCTGTGGAGGAACCCTGTCTTGCATGATCTATAACAGTTTAAAGGTGCAAGGGTTAATACTTTTGTTCCAACCAGTCTACGGACAATTCCTCCTCCCACCCATTCTTTCAAAGAAGATATAAAGGAAGAGAAAGATTTATCTTCCCTATAGAACTTGGCCTTGCTCACTGGGGAAGGGATGGGCACACCTCAGTTTGTCTACGGCCTGTCTCTCATCCTGTTGATCCAAACAACTCCTTCCCAACTCACTGATGGCAACATGATGCAAAAGTCAGGCACCTGGATCAGAGACGTATTACAGAGACAACTAGGTATGACAACAATTGCTTGGAAATTGGTTCAAGGCTCCTACTATTGCTGATTTGATTTGCCAAGACATGGATTTGTCATGCAGCAGGGCACCAGCAATGGTGATAAAAGGCTATTCATTTGACAGACTATAGCTCACTATATTTAAGCAGCCTAGGTTTAAATACCTACTCATCCAACTTCCAGGCTGGGTTGGTACATCATGTTAAATCAGGCCAAAAGATAACCAAGAGGCTGCATTTCCGTAATTTAAAGTTCACTATTTTTTTTAATCTTCATTATAGTTTTCTGTGATATAATGTATTGGGCAAATTCAGCTTACAGTGTATTTAATATATTGCATGTACATGGAAATGGGTTAATTTAGTAACCAAGGTAAGTACATCATGTAAACTCAATTCCTATAATGTTCCAGAACATTGCTAATGTTCTGAGTTTTACAGAACTCTGTCTAGATTAGCAGTTGCATAGAATGTTTTTGAAGTCCTAATACAGGAGTATAAAATCCAAAAAGTGCACTCTATTTGTAAGTCACAGAAGATGCTGAGAGGTTCCTGGAGAAAGAGAGTGGCATGGGGAGATAAACAGTGTGCATCAATAGTAATAGCAACCATCTAAATGCTGCATGAAATGAAAGCAGAAGGATGCTTCATGAGAGGCAGGTGAAGGAGGAAGGAAGGCCAAGTAAGAATGGAATCGAGTTAAGAAAATCAAGGAGGTTGGGGACATTGTGAGTGGCTGGGTGTGGGGGGATAATGTAAATGGAACAAAAATAGCATGAATGAAAAGAAAAGGTTATCAATTGCCAAATGAACTTTCAGCATCAGGGTATCAGTAACTAGCATTTTACAAAACAACATTATTGAATTGACTTAGGCATCTAACACCTAAGATATACCTGTGTCACAGGTCACCCCTATACCAAGATTTCTATCTATTTTATCATGGTACTCAGAAGATGAGGGGGGAAAAGATCTCTCACTTTTTTCCTTCTTGTTAAACAATCTTACTACACTAGTCTTCCTCTCAGGAACAGAAAGATATTTGAAATCTCCAACAGACTCTCAGGAAGCTGCAATTTTTATGAGCAAAGTATCACAATGAAGATTATATATAGCAGGGATATAAGGAATGCACAAACACATATACACACACACACACCCCAAGCATTGCTGAGTTACAATTAGAATTAGCTGTCATACCATAGCCAAAAGTAAGCAATGATGAAAACTATAATTTAATATCTGAGGGACCAGTGGTTTCTCGAAATGTGACAAAGGGATGTCTTTTGTTTTTTGCCTTTTTCATTAGTTTTAGGCAAAGTGCTTTGGGTTTGGATATACCAGAGACAAAGTTGAAGGTAATGTTTGGCATATAGGGAAAAGCATGCACTGTGTGATATTCTCTCTATTTGGTAGATGTGTATTGATATCCATTATTCACAGTTCAGAATACAGTACATGCATTTTATAAGGTGTGATATGTATTATTAACAGGATAACTGACAGTTTTTGATAGATAAAGTATTGCTAAAATGGTAGAAATGTAGACCAGTCCAAAGACATGAAAACTGAGATGGTGTGGATTTTCAAAGCAACAAAAGCTCTTTGTCCATCACCATCATTTTCTTCTAGGCACTATCCTTTTAGACCCTATCTTTTTATAAAACTTGATCCACTCATGTCCCTTGTTTTATATATCTGAGTAGCTTCCTTTTAAAATACCTGGAATTATTGTTGGCATATCAGCCTTGGGTCTAGCAGTATGAGGTTTATATTCCTTTCAATCTATCTTAGCCATGAAAGAGAGTTCAATGAACTGAGCCATGAACTGGAGATAGATGATGACATATCCCTCCTCCTGTGTTGACAGCTGACAGCCCTCTTTCCACAGAGGGGGAGGAATACTCATCATCTATCTCTAGTCTACAACACAGTCCTTTCAGCAGTTCCAAGAAGGCTTCACACCCATTTGCACTACTCAGGTGACCCTGAGGTCACAGAGAAGCCTCCAAGTGGCCTCAACCACTCTCTAAAAGAATGCAAATGACCAGCTGCCTGAAAGGAATATAAATCCTTCCATTCCCCACCATCCACTCAGAGCTGAAGAAACTTCTTGGATGAGAAGCAAAACATCTTCAAAACAACAAGTCCAGTTGCCTCTTGAAAAAGCACCTTTGAGACAACCATGACCTGGATGATTGAGACTCTCCATACACATCTTCATTAGCAATTCTAAACCAGTGTGTGCGTATGGATTAACTCACTGACTGTTTCTACTTTGGGGCATGTAAACTGCATTATCCTAGGTGAGATAACTGGACCACACAGACTACTACTGTGCATTGGCTCTTCATAATCTTTTTCTGCTACTCTCTATTGTTTCCTATTTTATTTAGAGATATCAGAAATTAACAGTAATTCATCACAGATTGAGAAAGCACTAACTATATTACTACACTAACATTAATAGGAAAATTTCTGAAGATGTTGTCAGATGTTATTTATTATACAATCACACTGCTTTATGTTGTTCCTGACTACATGTTCTATTTGTAACGTTCTTTTTTTCCTAGCTCTTTTTTTATAGTTTCTTTTCCACAAAATAGACAATAATGAAAAGGTAAAACAGATGCACAATACTTAGAAGTAGTAACTTTAGGAGTGCATGATAAAGCAGCATCCTCTGTGTCTTATTCCATTTCTGATTCTATATTTAATGCCCAAAGGGAAGAGAACTTGGATTTTGTATTGCAAACATCAAAACAATGTGTTTCAGTCAATCCACCAACCTGAAACAGATTCCTTTGGTTATTTTAATCTAACCAAGCAAGGGCTAAACACTAATGTATTATATACAAGCAAGATGAATTATTTATTTCCAACTCTCAAACTTACACACACTCTGAACAATACACATACAATCCTTTCCTGGACAGAATATAAGGCCTAAGCATTCCAGATGCTTAAATCTACGAATGGCTATTCCTCCTAATCAAAGTAGATCCAACAAAAGATTATGTAAGATAATGCCATTCTTCCTTTGATTTTACTTCTTCTTCTTCTTCTCATTACAGAAACACAGTCATTTAAAGGAACATTCACAACTCTCCAGAACAAGCCTTCAAATCTCCCAACCCCACTGTTCTCTGGCCCAACCAGGATTCGCCAAAAGAGGCATACATGGGAGAGACCCGAAGAACAAGAATGTCAATTACGAAGTCTGCTGGTTCGTATCAAAGATCTAAGTTTGGGCTACAACTCTGAAGAGACTATCCTTTTCAAGTATTGTAGTGGGACCTGTCCCAAGGCACACAGCAATCATGACTTGACCCTCTCAATTCTGTTGCAGAAGAGCGAGATCCCAGCATTGGGAAACCCCTGCTGTCGTCCTATACACTATGAGAATGTAGCTTTTCTCGACGATAGCCACCAGTGGCATGAAGTGGAGAAACTCTCAGCCTCTGCCTGCAGTTGTGTGGGCTGATGGTTATGGAGGGGGGAACTGATGCAGACTTATAAGGCAGCAGCAAAGCATGATTGTATATTTAGCTATAGAACAAAGCTCCGTTATTTCCTCTCATCCTCAGCACTTACAAAAGCTTTTAAGAGAAAGAATTGCAAGAAACCCCACCATGTGATGTCTATATCCTTCTCTTCAAGCCCAGAGCAATTCTACAGAATGATCTCCCCTTAGCAGGAAGTAAGAAGTAACTTCTTGGCCATATAATCTATCAGTCCTTTCACACTCTCCCAGATATACTTCACTTAAACACATTGCTGGGTTGACGGAATCCTGTCTAAATTATATATGAAAGGCTCAGGCAACCATTCAAAATATTTATGGGTTATTTCTAATTTCTTTCTTTCCTGAATTCAAGGAGGGTCTGGCATCTGCATGTTCCTTCCCAATTAGAGCTGCCCCTTATTATTGTTTTTAATTTATTTGTCTATTTCTTCTCTTGGAAAGCTGAAGTTATTCGTTCCAAACTTACATTATGAATGATTGATTGATATGTACATACTGGTGTCAATAAAGTAAAAGTAAAGCAAAGAGAAAAACAGTGTCTCCGGTTCTGGGGTCAGGAACATTCATTGGGAGGTGTGGGGTTTTTTTGCGTTATTTGCATCTTAATATTGATTACTTTAAGTCACTCAAAACATCATGAAAATAAGCAGTCAAGGTCAGACTAAAGCCACATGCTTTTATCTTTAGCAAAAGACATATAATACTTCTTTTTAAAAACAAAATATCATTCATTAATCCCAACAAAGCTATCTCAGCCATTTTTTTGTTTAGCAAAATAAGGGTGCACCACAGAGATTTTCAATAATACTGCAGAGATATAATTTAGGGTTTCAAGAGGTTTATTTTTTTTAGGAAATGGAGAGGGGAATAATAATTTTAAAAAACAACAGAGAAGAGATAGGGCCATACAGAGTCAGGTGTTCTGGGTTGTAAAAAGAACTGGATTCTAGTCCTGAGCAATAGGAGATCACGGATTCAGCCCTATACTTTTCATATTTTACCACATCCCAAATTATTCAAAGACAAGTACTACCTATTTTCACATTCCTCAATAGTTCCTTTTTTATAATCAAGATTATTCACTTGTCTTCCACTTCTACATTTTACCTCTTTTCTCTTCAGCATTTTGATGCTGCAAGTCAAAATGTGGAATTTATCCTATTCCCACTCACTGAATACCCACCACAGTGAAATCCTCATTTAGAGATACTCCAATTTAGCTTTTTTATTTATTTATTTTTAGATACATACATGTTAAAGCTAATCTTGTGCTTATGACACCTATCAGAATCATTCTGAAATTATTTAATTCACAGAAATGATAACATATTCAGTTGCAGCATCAATTGTGAGAAAATTAAAAATTCAAATACTTTTTTTACCATCTGAAAAATTAGCAATATATTTATAAGGAAATAATGGTGCAATTAGCTTAGGCCCTGCTCTCATCTACATATTTGATGGTTACAAGCATCAAAGATGTAATTCTCTTTTTCAGACAATCTCTTTTATAGAAAGAATTGGAGAACATCTGTCTATCTGCTTTGCCAAGTTCACTATTTTGAGTCTCAGTATGTGTGATAAATTTTAATACTGAGCAGAAAAGAGAACAATGTTCAATAGTTCAGCAACTGGAAAAGCAATTAAAGGATAATTTAAAAACTACAATACACTGATATCCTTCCCCCCCTACATTTCAATTCTTAATTTCACCTCTACCTATGTTCGCAGGAACACACATTACAGAAGAATTTTATTCCCTGAGATTAACAGTGTTGCGGTTCATTTTCGTTAGATCTACTTGCCAAATTGTTGCAGATTTCCTTCTTCCTACCTGTTAAGTGCAAAAGGGAGAACACTTTCTTAGACAATGTACACTTTTAGGCTTCCTTTACTGCATGGAGGAAAGGTTCCATCGCTTACCGTTGGATAGAAAACCAAAGCTCTCTGGAACAGTAGGTCAAAGTAACTTCTTTAGAAAGAGCACCATGTCAATTAGACAAAAAAACTAAATTCCACTGGCAGCAACAGTTAGCCTTCACAGTATCACCTGGCAGTTCTAGGATGGTTCTGCTGGTAAGGGCAGGTTTCGACAGATGACAGAGACCCTTCGTTCCCTGGCGACCTTTCTTCCATCAAAAAAGGACTCCTCATCTTTAAGAATTTCATGAGTGAATTCATAACGAGCAGGCCCTCTTTTATTTAAAGAAAACATTAGAGAAGACATCAGTAAGTTACCATAACTTGGAAAAGAGTTTTGTCCCAATTGACACCATACACAATTAAGAGCTTGGAAAAATGACTCATGATTCAGAAACAGAATTCTTAAAAGAATTCTAGTTCTGTTCTCAGTGAATACCCAGACTATTTCATGCATATGAACAGCTATAGCTGCTCATTAATTTCTGTAAGCTATAATCAAATTAACATATTTCCCCGAGAATAAGATCCTGTCTTATATTTTTTTTGAACCCCAAAATAAGCACTTGGCCTTATTGCCATGCGCTCAAAAGCCCGATTGGGCTTATTATCAGGGGATGTCTTACTTTGGGGAAAACAGGGTAGATATTTCCTACTTCATGGACAAGTCTTAACTACCAAGCACCTGCAGGGAAACAATATAAACTCCTCCTTATTAAACAAAGCAGATTTTCATTCGTTCCAAAGTTAGGGAACTGCAATCTGACAGAACAATCCCAAATGTGAAACTACAACTTGATTTTGTTTTATTCTAACAAACCAGTGTTTGTTATATTTTGATGTAACAGGGTACCATGATATATTAACAACAGAAATAGACATTTCCAATCTTCTCTTAGCCATAGAGGAGGGAAATATGAAGTGTACAAGCTCAAGACTCATGAAGCTGCATACCTGTCATAGAAAATTATTCTTAAGTGAAATGTCTACTTAATGTCAGTGCGTCTCAAACTTATGGACAAACAGGCATGGCTCAATGAATTTCTTTGAGCCAATAAAAGGTAGAATTTATGTTAGTAGTTGCAGCATAGAATATATATTGAGCCCAGGACTGACCCTGGGAACAGAATACATTCCAAAAAGTGATGGTGAAGGGTATCATGAAAGAATTAGTCTATCAAAGGCTACTAAATACAGTAATTACACAGGACTCCATATATAGAAACAGTGTATCTCCGAAAACCACTATCACAGAAGCATCTACTTAGTCACTATTGGGAAACAAGATGCTAGACTAAATGGCCTCTTAACCTGATTATTTAACAAAGCAATTTTTATTACCTAAGAATGTAGAGAGATCGGCGCTCCAGCAGAAGATCCAGCCAGTCCTGTGGATTCTGCTGACTAACCAGGTGCATTACACTTGTGGACAGGAGGGACAGGCCTGCAATGGTGCAGCCACAGAACTAAGCAAAAGGAAATATAAACATTATGGGATTAGAATAATACAAATTATCCAGCACTTATTAACTAATATTAGGGCATCATGTTGCCCCGAGTCTCATGTTGCAACTGGACACAGACATTCTTTTTCTATTACCTAGGAAAAAAACAATATTAGGGCACTGTGGAGTAGAAAGATTTGCCATCAGATTCATGACATGAATACCAGAAGCAGACTTTTTCCAGTGACTGAATCACATTGTCATCCTGTCAAAAATGGGGCTTACTACTGTGTAGGTATATATAGGACTGCACAGTTGATTTATTATGGAAGAAGACTTGATAGACAACAATCTCCTTATCAGAACAATCAATGTTCGGATAGGAACCAATAAATCCACAAAGGAATAGATGAGTCTAATTGTCAATGAGATTTGTTTAAGTTTATAAAATATTGACTACATTGAAGTTGCATATGGAAGTTCACATTACTAAATTCTGTAGAGATAGATACACAGACAGATATGGAATATAAGAAAGACTACCAACTTGAACGTTTCTTGCTTACAGAGATAATATTGCATTTCAGGGATTTGTTTTGCATAGAAATTTACTACTTTATCTTAACAACTAAGGGCCACTAGTACATTATACATGAATATAGTTTTTTTATTATTTATTTTTTTATTTAATTTAATTTATATACATCCCTACTCCCGAAGGACTCAGGGCGGTGAACAGCCACAAGATAAAAGTACATCATACATAGTTACAAAGCCAACTGTTTTTTCTCATTAAAAAGGAAACTGAATTTAAGTTCCAAAGGTGCTTTTTCAAAAGACAACTGGACTTCGTTTTTCCTTGAAAGCATTTTGTTTTCCATCACTTCTTCAGTTCTGACTGAATAGTGGAGGATGGAAGGATTTATATTCCTTGCAGTCATCTGGTTTTTAGCACTCTTACTGAGAGTCATTGAGGCCACTTGGAGGTTTATCTGTGCCCTCAGGGTCTTGTGGATAACACAAATGGGTGTGGAACCTTTATTATTATTATTATTATTATTATTATTATTATTATTATTATTATTATTATTATTATTTATTGAATTTCTATACCGCCCTTCTCCCGAAGGACTCAGGGCGGTGAACAGAATAAGATTTCATATACATATAATAATTTTTTTTTTAAACAGTAAATAATAAATTGAGTAAACTTAGTGTATCTGCTAAGACCTTGGCATAGAATTTAGATGTTTATGCTAGCCCTGCTTGTTGAAACAGAAAGGTTTTAGGGCACGTCGGAAAGTGCGAACCTTCTTGGAACTGCTGAAAAGATTGTGTTATAAAGACAAAAGTCACTCTTTTGAAGACAGCATTCTAGATGAGAGGACCGCTGGATTGAAACAATAAGATTAAACAGCCCTCTCTCAACAAAGGAGGAGGGATACAACAACACCTATCTCCTATTTACAACACAGTCATTTTAATGACTCTGGGCACAAATAATGATCTCAATGACCCTCAGAAAGAATGCTAATGACCAGACAACTGCAAGGAATATAAATTCTTCCATCCTCCACCATTCAAATCAAAATCGAACAAACTTCTTGGATGAGAAGCAAAATGTCTTCAAGGAAAAACAAAGCCCAGTTGCCTTTGAAAACCTGGATGACTTGAGAATCTCCACAGACAAACTGAATGTAAGGACATTGCTAAAAATTAATGGATTCTTGCACTATCTTCAAGAATAATCTCTTCAACCTATATCCCATTTCTGGGATCTCTTCTTCTTAATCTGATTAATTTCTAAAACTGCTGCTGCCGCCTTCATTTTGCATTTGTTTTTCTGATCTAGGTTAAAATACACATTTCCTTTGGTAAGCAAATTTCTAAAACAATCTTCCAAACTGATGAGGTCAAGCTGTATTGATGCTGGCCAGAGATTATAAGAACTAAAGTCCAATGCGTCCAGAAGACATCAGAATAAAGACAGCAAGTCTATACCACTGTCCTGAATTGACTACTAGGATTAAAACAGCAGTAATGGCATTTCAGCTAAATATTATTTCTCAAAGGGCAGATGCCTACTGTGTGTGTGTGTGTGTGTGTGTGTGTGTGTGTGTGTGTGTGTATTGTTTATGTAAGTTTTCACGGGTATGTATGTGTGTATAGTTAATATTTCGGGTTTCTTCCCGTGTAATTGTGGATATATCCCTAAAAGGGTAGAAGCGACGTTTCGGCAGAATCCCATCTGCCATCATCATCATCAAAGTGCAAAATGACTGCTGACATAAGCCTGATGATGGCAGATGGGATTCTGCCGAAACGTCGCTTCTACCCTTTTAGGGATATATCCACAATTACACGGGAAGAAACCCGAAATATTTACTATACACACACACACACATATATATATATACACACACATACATACATACATACATACATACATACATACATACATACAGTATATGCATATTCTTTCTAGCCAGGTTCCACCTATGTAAGCTAAGTTGTTCTTCAGCCCTAGTTCTATGAAATCTCATTCACAAGTTTCTGGGCTTTTTGTATCCTGCTGAAAAGCAACAACTCTGTGCTGCAATTTGGGAGACTCAAATAGCTATTTCTGCCTTATAAGGCGTCATCAGTGAGCCACACCCTCTTCTCAAGTATCCTCCCTAACATCAGTGGCTCACTGATGACGCCTTATAAGGCAGAAATAGCTATTTGAGTCTCCCAAATTGCAGCACAGAGTTGTTGCTTTTCAGCAGGATACAAAAAGCCCAGAAACTTGGGGAAACAGGTTTGCTTATCCTGAAGTCTACTAGGGTTACAGAAAAAATGTTTGACCCTTAATATTGGAGGAAGTTCCAGAAATTCAGCCAAAACATTCTTATTATATAACTTTCCCAAAAGTAACAGATTCACCTTTTCCCAATGAGAAATTTTTCTTAACAATCAACAAGTTAAAGAACAAAACCAAATTTCACAGGAATAGTATTAAAAAAAAGTCATTTGAAATAAATTGCAATAAAAAGATTTTATTGTATGTGCAACAACTTATCAAGTCTTCCTCCAAGGTCCATCATGCAATTCTATGAAACTACCAGAAAAACTACCGTATTTTCCGGCGTATAAGACTTTTTAACATATGAAAATCTTCTCAAAAGTCGGGGGTTGTCTTATACGCCGGGTGTCGTTCTCCTGTAACCAGGCAGACCAGCCCGAAAGACTCTGACGAGCCTTAAATGGCTCTGGCGATCCAAGCTCTGACGATCCCAGCTGAGTTGCCTGCTAATCAGGCAACTCAGCTGGGATCGCCAGAGCCCAGAGCCCTGTAAAAGGAAAAAAGTTTTCCCCCTCCAGCTTGCTTACCTTAGCTGCTAATCGCAACGCTTGCCTTGCTTCGCTTGCCTGAATCCATTCCATCAGCAAGCCACTCCCTGCCTGCAATCATGCAGGCAGGAGTTGTGGACTTCAACTCCCAGAATTCCTCAGCCAGCAAAACAAAGCTGGCTGAGGAATTCTGGGAGTTGAAGTCTACAAGTCTTAAAGTTGCCAAGGTTGGAGACCCCTGTTCTATTGGGTAAGTTTTTTTCCCCTTTGGGAACTTTAAAAAAAATAGTTAATTGGGGTTTTTTTAGTTGTTCTTTTTTAGACCTAGCCATTTAAAGTTTAGGAAGTTTTAAATTTAGTTTTCATATAAAATATATATATATATTTGTGCAGCTTTCTGAGATTTAGTGTGTTTCTGTGGTGTTTCACTCTAACTACACAAACACACAAAATCTCACAAAGCTGTATGTGGAATTTTGTGTGTGTAAAGTGTGAACGTTGTTTTTTTGGGCTTTTTGTGGCTGTGTGAGGTTCCTGCTTGTTGCAGGGGCCATTTTGGGTCTAGCACAGCTGCTTTTACATTGTGGGTGAGCCAGTTGTGTTGTGTGTGTGTAAAGTGTGAAAATTGTTTTTTGGGGCTTTTTGTGGCTGTGTGTGGTTCCTGCTTGTTTCAGGGGCCATTTTGGGTCTAGCACAGCTGCTTTTACATTGTGGGTGAGCCAGTTGATGTTTTTTAATTTTTATTTGGTGTGCGTTGGAAGAGGGGTAGTCTTATACGATGAGTATAGCCCAAACCCCATATTTTAACAGGAAAATTCGGGGGTCATCTTATATGCCCAGTCGTTTTATACGCCGGAAAATACGGTACAAAAGAACACTTTCTAGTCATCTATAGATTCTATGCTAACTTACCTTGACACTGTCTACATGAGGCTTTATGTGGCCACTTTTATCCAAATCCAGAACATGGACTTGAGCGAGCTGTGGCACTCCTGGGGGGAAAGCAGCATTCCGGACTCGTTGTAAGATCTCATGACATTCTTTGCTCCAGTATGATTTTTCTGTCTCCCGATACTTATGAATAGCCTACAGGAATGAAGAGATGGAATGAATAGGTTAAATGAGGACCCAGTTGTGGGGGCAATAAGCTGACTTTGTATAAATATACAAAAGTATGAAGGCTATTGCTTAACGCATTGTAAGCCGCCCTGAGTCTCCGGAGAAGGGCGGCATATAAATCAAATTTAAAAAAAAATATCTAGAAAGAAAATGAGATAGCCATCCACAAGTTTGATCACCCATATATATATGCACTCCTGTAATGACTACAGAATCTCATGCTAATCACTGTGATAAAACACCAAATGTCATAGATAACCTTTTTACATTGCCTCACATACATATTTCAGTTGAAACAGCTCATAATCAAATTCTGGGTAATCAGTTTGAGAATATGGTACCATCTTCTTCTAAAGAAGGCTGTGGAATGGGAACAATTTGATAAGTGTTCCTCTAACATTATAGGGTCCCCCATCCCACTATACTGTGGTTTAGCTTTAGTTAATATGATTATTTAGTTAATATTTGGTCATATTATGTAATATGAACCCAGACAACTACAGCTTTTTCATTAAACTATTTCTAAATATAATTTAGCATGTGTGGACTCAGTCAAGGACTGGGCTTTTCCATGAACCAAGTTTTATTTGATCTTTAGCCAGTAGTTTGGGGAATATAGAAAAGAATAATCCCTGCTATAGAAATAAACTGCCCCAAAGCTATCAGGTTTTGTTTTAAACCGACCAAACAAATACCAACAAATATATGGTTGGTAAGAAATGAACACAGCATTACAATAAAGAATTACAGTACATAATTATGTATTACTGAACCATTTAAAAAAGCTGTTTTTATTGTGAAGAGAAAAGATGGGTAGGAGATAAGAGAAAGAAGGAGAATACAAATTTTAAAAATGATCTGTACGTACTTATTTGCAAATTAACATTAAAGCAATAAATTTCCAATAAAGGAATTTAGATTTAATACAAGATTTAGATTTAATATTCACATCCTGATTTATTAGTAAAGAGCTAGTTCACGCCATTAAGATATAGCCCAGATCTATTTTATTTAATAGTTTGTATAAAATTGCTCAATTTGTATCTTCCAAATACAGGTAACCCTCGATTTATGACCACAATTGAGCCCAAAATTTATGTTGCTAAGTGAGAAATTTGTTAATTGAATCACTGTATTCGTTAAATTAGTAACATGGTTGTTAAGTGAATCTGCTTTCCCCATTGACTTTGTTGTCAGAAGGTGATCATATGACCCCGGGACACTGCAACTGTCATAAATGTGAGTCAAGCAACCGAATATAAATGTTGTGACCAGGCAGATGCTGCAATTGTCATAAGTGTGAAAAACGGTTATGTCACTTTTTTCAGTGCCACTGTAACTTTGAATGGTCACTAAATGAACTGTTGTAAGTGGAGGACTACCTGTACTTCACATAAAAAGTATATCTGAAATAATCATTAAAGTAGGATGAAAATACTTCATCAAGTTAAAATTCTATTCAGACTTAACATATGCTCGTTTACAAATGAATGGCAATTAAACACCTGAGCCAAATTCATTAAAAAGGACATTTAAATGAAAAGTATATAATTTTATCCATCACTAATCAAGCAACGAAGAAACTTATCATATAGGCAAGATTGGGTACAATAGCTAATATGTTGGATCTTCCCATATCCCACCTTCTTTCAGTTGATACTTATATTTCTAATCCATGAACAGCACAACATCTGAACTGGATGTATTTATCATTATTCTGAATGACTGAACCTTCAGTAAACTATTATTTATATTGTCTATGTCTCAAGTCACAAATAATAAGGAAACATTAACCCAGGCAAAATTAAAAACTTACAGAATGTTGAGTGCAGTTTCCTAGTACTATAACCTCAGGAACCCTTGAGAATCCCACAAGATATGCATATAGTTTCCTGCTGTACCATCTCAACAACCAGCATCAAAGACATACTTGTTAGCATATTGCCATCAAAGCAAATAGCTTTCACAGTAGCTTCACCAAGGAGCAGCCAGTATCAGCAGCTCTTGGGCAGAGGATGAATGCAAGAAATCAAAATTCAGAGGAAGTATACATGGCCAGGCTACAGATGTCTTCAAACTCAATCCTACCATTTCCAGTCAGAAAAGAAACAAGTAAAAACAGTATCAGGCTAGAATGGCTATATAATAGTAGAATACTACTGTTTGTATCACATTTGAGATACAAAGCATACTGTTTATAAAAGGGGGGGGGCATGATATCTCCTTTATACTTATGTTGTTCCACACAGTAATATTGTCCCATAATCTTACAAAAACTAGAATGCCCATCTTCCCATCTTGTGACAACAAACACCCAATATTCGTTGTCTGTACAAGACACAATAAACTACAAACTAGCTAGCATTATTTTAACCTAATGCATTGGGCAAAGTAGTCCAAGAGGATTGTTTATGGTTTATTACAGTTATGTCGTGGAAGCCCGCAACGTGTGGTTGGTTGGGAACCCATAGGCATCTTTAATAAGATCCATTAAGTCTAATTGGTCTCTTCAAATATGTTCTAAACCAGGAAGCCTGAAACGCCTTATATGCTTAGGTTCACTCCGATAACTGGTTTGTTGAATAAGCCACTCCAATCCTGAACGGCGCAAAGGCCAGTAAGGAGGCTCGCACAAAACATTAAGTCAACTACACTTCGGCTTCAATATCGGAGCCCACGGAGTTTCCCTGGAAGCCACGCAGAGCCACCCACCCCGTCCCAATGCTCGTCTTGATAGCGGTGACGGCGCAGCTGCGGTTCCAGCTCCTGGGCCAGCAACGCCTCCTCTTCCTCGCTAATGAAGTCCCGCGTCACCGAAGCGCCGCCGGCCTGCAGCTTTCGCCAGAGAGCCTCGCTCGACGCACGGACCTCGGCCGGCCATGGCCTCAGCTGCGCCTCCTCCGCCGCGCAGAAGGCCCGAGGCGATGGCGCGGGTCGCCATAGAAGCCGCAGCAACCGTCGCCCGGCAATCTGACCGCGCGACGGCATCGCAGGTAGAGCGTTGAGAAATTAAAGCGCCCGCGGTGCATGATGGGCCGAACTCCGTTCATTTGCATACTGACGTTCTGCTTCGGCAGACAAGCGAAGGATCCCGCGTGGTGGAAAACGTCCTTCAAGGTGCCTTTTCTACCTGGACTCAGAAGACAGGCTGCAAACTTATCTGTGATTGTGTTTACGTATCACACATTAAAGACGATACTTGGCCTAGTCAACCTGGCACCTAGAACAATTAGAGGTCTTGGTAAATCATTGCTAGCTTTCTGGGACTGAAAAGAACATGTGGGATATGCTAGCCTTCACTGTCGACTAAATGTGGCTTGTATCAAATTGCATAGAGGTAGTCCTCAACTTAACGATCATGATTGAGCCTAAAATTTATGTCGCTAAATGAGAAATTAGTTAAGGGAGTTTTGCCCCGTTTTATGACTTTTCTTGCCACATTTGTTAAGTGAATCACTGCAGTTGTTAACTTAGTGACAAGGTTGTTAGGTGAATCTGGCTTCTCCATTGACTTTGCTTGTCAAAAGGAGATCACTTGATTCCAAGATACTGAAATCGTCAATTTACAGTTCAGTTGTCAAGCATCTGAATGTAGAGACCATGGGGATGCTGCAAAGGTCATAAGTGTGAAAAATAATGTCACTTTTTTCAGTGCCATTATAACTTTGAATGGTCACTAAGTGAACTGTTGTAAATTGAGAAATACCTGTACTTATCCAGTATTATAAGAGCCACCTTACAGATATGTTCATGATACACTTAACTGTAAACTGGGCAGTGTCATTTTAGCCTACTGTGTTAAGCCATTAATTGGGTTCAGTAAAAAAAAAAAAGGTTAATTAAGCCATGGATGATCATCTCTTCTGTGCAGTCTTATTTTGTGGGAGGAGCAGAGATTCAAGCTGTATATTGGATTGCAAGGATTTTGCAATTAGCTTCTTTTGCCCATTTATATATTTTGTTTGTAAAATTTGGATAGGTATGGGTAAATTTGAGCAGTCTCTCATCCAGATAATTTAAAGACCAGATCAACTTCATTTCAACTTCATTTCAATTTACGTTCATTTTTCAATGAATGTAAAATTCAAGGCAAAAATCCTTGAGACCTCAATTGCTCTTCATTGTTCCCCACAGCATTATGAAAACAGAAACATGCAATTGAATTAGAAGACTTTGCTCAGTTTTATAATTGTTTTTAGAACCTCATCAGTATGGAAATCGCAATTTTGAAAGGAATGGAGATATTACTCCAGATACTTGAACCACTGCAAATATTTTTATACAGATCTTAGGCAAGGCACTTGAAATTCTGTTCTCCTCAAGGTGCTGACATAAAAGAATGGTTGTTAGAATACAATAGTTATCTTACTAGAACAGAACTAAATTAGAATTGAAATCACACCTTCTTAATATATATGTTTATTAAAATAGGAACACCCAAAAGAAACCTACTTCATTTTTGGTCCGTATCTCCACATGCATACAAAGGTTCAAATGTTAACAAGTACAGTCTAATAAATATAATCCAGCAAGTTCATAAAAACTATATTCACTTGTATATTCTGTGCTGTAATAAAATTCAGTTGCATGTCAAAAAACAGTTCCCAATATAAGCATTTATTTCTGTTGACCTTTCTTAAGTAGAAAGTTACATCTAGAATACAACTAAAAGAAGGAAATATGTTTCTCAATTTCAGTTGAATAGAACATAAATTTTGATACAGCTTTCGTGACAACATGCATTGAAACTAAAATAATAGGACCGTAGTGAAAGAAATCCCTAGAAGAAGCTGTTAAGGAAGCGATCCAAACTATCATTCTGGAGATCATCCTTCACAGCTATTTCTGTTTGGCAAGCTGCATTGGTAGATTTCCCTTCTTTTGAGCTGTTGATAGGTTGGTAGGTTTCCCTTCTTTTGAGCTGTTGTGGAGAATTTGGCCTAAAAAAGGGTAAAAAGACAAATAAATAAATATGCTTCTACTCTTCCTTATGGATACCCCCAAATCCAGAGAGGGGACAAAATTTAATTATTCCATAATATCTATTTTTAAAATCCTAAATCAGTCTCTCTCAGTGCAATTAACTGATAGACTACTACATATTATGTATTATGCTATAATGCAAGTTGGTTTCAGTTTAATTGAATCTGAACCCAACCTTGGTTTATTCAAAATACCATGGTTAAAACAATCCTATTTAATACAGTATATGAACCTCATCATGTCACTCTTCCCATTGCCAGAAAGAAAGTGTCTTTCATATGCAACGGGAATACCCCAAATTAAGAGGGAGAAAATAGACAAATTCCAAGTTACTGTATATACTTATTAAATATGCTATTAAGAACTTTTTAAAAATCAAAGATTTTTTTTTAAAAAATGCCAAAGCAAAGATGGACACAACCAACTGAGATCAGGTTCAGATATATTATCTTAATTATAAATTGATACACTATCTGGATATAATCACAGAAGCTAGAAGGTATTCCTAAATAGGAAAAGCTATCATAAAGCTTTTATGCTTTATGATCATAAAGCTACAGGTAGTCCTTGACTTACAACTATTTCTTTAGTGACTGTTCAAAGTTACAGAGGCACTGAAAAAAGTGACATGACCATTTTTCACATAACCATTGCAGCATCCCCATGGTCGTGATCAGTTCAGATGCATGGCAACTGGTTTATATTTATGATGGTTACGGTGTCCTGGGATCATGTGATCAATCACCTTTTGCAACTGTCTGACAAGCAAAGTCAATGTGGAAGCCGAATTTGCTTTACAACCATGTTTCTAATTTACCAACTGCAGCGATTTGCTTAACAACTGTGGCAAGAAAAGTCATAAAATGGGGCAAAGCTCACAAAACTGTCTCGCTTAGCAACATAAAGTTTGGGCTCAGTTATGGTCATAAGTTGAGCACTTCCTGTACTTTAAAAGTGTTATTCAACAAAACCAGGAAATATAAAATAAAAATAAAATAAAAGTTTTATATTATATAAAAATATAAAATATTACCAGTTGTCTGAAAGAATTTGCTCCTTGCCTATTTCAGGGCTGCTAGTTTTACAGGAAAGCTGCTTTCTTCTAAAGAGGTCTGTTGGGGTACGGCATGGTGTGATAAGAAATTTGGGGTATGGTGTACAGATGGGTCTGCCCCACTTTTTTACTCTGGGTGACTCTTCACAGTCTGCAGTCAGAGAGAAAAAAAGAAGTTCTGAAGTTTACTGTGTAAGATTAAAGATTTGTTTTGTTTAGCATCCTGTCTAGCAGAGATAGATTTCTCAGCTAACCTACAAGCAGAACTTTCTTATCCCCACCCCACCCCCACACAAACACCTCTGACTCCCCACAGTTGGCATTACAATAGTGGTAAGCTACTACCATAATGAACATTAAGCTTAGTTGATATTCTTCGGGTCAATAGCTGCATTCACTAACATTGCAGATGTAAGTTAGCATGAAAAAAGGAAAGGCATGGTAAAAAAGGGGGCATGGTAGAAACAAACAGAAAGTTATGTATCTTGATAAAAATGATTAACTGGAAGCTTCCAAAAGCTATAGAAACGGAAAAACAATTCAGAGAGATAGCATACTTTTATATGGTAATATGTTTACCATACATACACACTCATCAAGTGTTTACATCAATCAAACATATTTCTGAAGCACAGATTTATGTAAAATTTATCCATGTCTTAAAAGACCCTATTCAAAATATTTGAATATCAAAATATTTGATTTGACAAATTTCCACTTTTTGAATTTCTGATTCTTTATTATAACAAGACATTTTATCCAAATTGCTAAGAATCAATGGCAAATTAGAAGGCATTTGTCAGCCTGGGAGTTGCCCACCTTAGCTGTAAACTGCCTTTAGATCTATCTCCAAGAATTGGTCCATTTAAAAAGAAAGCTACCTAAAACTATGTCTACAACACCTTATGGAAGTGCATTTCAGAAGGTAAGCTATGTTCTATATAAAGCAAATTCCATTATATTGCTCCTGACTTATGACCAATAAATAATTTTGAACATCCAAGTTCTAGCATTACATACTAAAAAAGTATATTATCTGCATTAGGTTATTTGAAGGACCATCTTTTCCCAATCTGATCTACCCGGCCCACCAAAGTGTGGAGGCAGGGAATGCTATCGGCCCCCTCTCTAAATTTAGAGATCCATCTGCTGAAACCAAAAGAAAGGGTCTTCTCCATGGTGGTTCCCTCCCTATACCTCCCTCTGCATCATCCCTGCAGAGATAAAATTGGCCCCCACTTTTGACACACTTTGCAAGGCTGAGAAGACATGGTTCTGCCAATGAGCATAGGAACCCCAGAATGATAGGGAGGCCATCAATCATATATTGTTCTCACCAGTGAGGTGGGGTGGTTATTGCTTTTTGTATTTTTTTTTCCATTGGGATTTTATTCTTGTAAGCCACCTGAAGTCACTGGGAATGAGTTGGGCAGACATAAATTCAAATTATAAACAAACAAACAAATAAACGTAGCTTCATAAATTTACATAGTATCCACACTCACTTATTTTTATAATCAATTAACAAATAAATGATCTTTTTAGTTTTTCTTGTAAGGCATATGGATTCTAGCCCTTGATCATTGTCCCTTTCTGTTGAAACAAATGAATATGTTACTGAAAAACCTGGGACATTACAAAATAAAGCATCTTATCCCCTGGGAGACCTGAGATGAAATTAGAATGGAAAAGGCACTACACCTTCAGAAAAAGTGACCAGCTTCTGGAGTAGAAAAGAAGGCAAGAGAATAACAAGGAGAAAGAAGAGGGAATAAGGCAGGGACTATGCACAATATAAAATAAGGAAGAATAGATTTTTTTTTTTATTCCTCCAAAGCAAACAAATGTTGCCCTAAAACAACTATTATCAAGAGGGAAATGCTTGTGGAAATTCCAGAATTGGAATGTGGAAACAATTTGTGGAGATGGATAGAGATACATTAATCATTTGCAGCTCTGATTGTTGGAATCCTGGAGATTCATCAGTATAATCTC